TATATATATATATATATATATATATATATATATATATATATATATGCATTTGTCTGCAGGTTGTATATAATACAGTATTTCTCGTTTCGTATTAAACACGAAACAATATAGTTTTTCTGTGTGCTTGTGTCTGTGTTAACATGAAACACTACGAGATTCTCAATCAGCTGGGCGATGGGACATTTGGCTGCGTCGTGAAGGCATTGGATAAAAGGACGGGTCAACTTGTGGCGATTAAGAAGATGAAGCAGAAGTACTACTCCTGGGAGGAGTGCGTGAAGCTGCCCGAGGTAACGGTGATGCGTCGCATTCACGGTCACCCAAACATTATCAAGATGCGTGAGGTGGTGCGCGAAAACAACGAGCTTTTTTTTGTTTTTGAGTACATGGATGGGGACCTCCTGGGTGTGATCCGTAAGGCAAAGCAAATACAGTGCCATGCCACGGCCGCTACAGCCCCTCCCATCCCATACCCGAAGATCAAGGGCTACATATTTCAGATTTTTCAATCTCTTGCCTACCTGCATCAGCGCGGGTACTTTCACCGGGACATGAAGCCTGAGAACTTGCTTGTAAGGGAGGACCCAATCTCAGCATCCCAGGAAATTGTAAAGCTTGCGGACTTTGGGCTTGTGAAGGAGATTAGGGCGCGTCCACCGTTTACGGATTACATCTCCACGCGATGGTACCGCGCCCCTGAGCTGCTGCTGCAAGATCGGTCGTACAGCAGCCCTGTTGATATATGGGCCGCTGGTTGTATATTGGCCGAACTCATAACCACCCGCCCTCTTTTTGCGGGTAGCAATGAGGTGGATCAGTTGTACAAAATAATGAACGTTCTTGGCTCACCAAACGAGCAAGTCTGGCCAGAGGGCATTACTCTCGCCAAGAAAATACGGTACGCGTTCCCCATGGTAAAGGGGGTGGGGCTCGAACGCGTGCTTCCCCCACATGTACCATCACAGGCTTTGGATCTAATGAAGCAGATGCTTAGCTACGACCCGAAGAAACGCCCAACGGCCCGCCAGTGTCTTCAGCACCCGTATTTTAACGTTGGCATCGACGAAGAAAATTTTTCACCTTCCAGTGTGGCAAAACAATTGGCAGGCACGCTTAAAAAGTTTGCCACTAGCCCACAAAGTGCACCGTCAGGGAACGTTCCTCTGCCTAGTGTGTTTAATGTAAGGCGTTCACCCGTAGGGGCCACGACGGCATTGCCAAAGCAGGGGGCGGTAGGGGTTCCTCCACTCCTCTCGCCGTCGCAGAAGTTTTGCTCTCCCGCGGGCCCAACTTTGACATCTGCGTTTATGGGTGAAAAGGCGGACCAACTTCCATCGGTGCCAAAACCTACGCCAACAGTTGCGCCTGAAGGTTTTACTACAGGAAATTGTTCTTTACCAAAACTTCCTGTTTTGTCTTCCAACAATGCCAAGGGTGGTGTGTCTAGTGCTGTTACTGTTGGTGGGAATGCTGGTAACGGTGATGTGGATTTAGATAGTCTCCTAGAGGAGTTTGCAGGTGAGCTTGAGACACTGAAAGTTGTTCCACAGCAAAAACCACGAGCTAACTTTTCTGCTTTAGGTGAGGGGACAAAGGGAAGCGTTTCGCACAACCCAGCCTTGGGGAAACCTCCTCTATTAGTGAGTACCTCCAATGTGTCCCCAGAGGGAAGGGATGACACTGTAGAAACATTTCTTAATTCCACGCGGTACAAGAAGTCCTCGTTATCTTCCATGGAAAGTGGTGGTTTAGCACATGCGACGAGGGGAACCTCACTGCAGAGACAAGCCCCTCTGGCCACTTCTCCTTTGGTATTGAGTGGTGGTCACCATGCGGCGCCACCACCGAGTAAGGCGTTCTTGGCTAAACACATGAAGAGAAAGGATAGCTCCGCTTCGTGAAAATAACCCCATACTTGGAACTTCTTGTCGGACACGCGACAATGTCGTTTAACCCCATGCATGTTTGTAGATGATTGCACACAATGCTAAATGCCTCATAGGATACCATGTTTCGTTCAGGACACAATGAGATTTTTTTTTTTTTTTTTTTTTTTTCTTTGTGGGGGGACGATGATAAGTTGCAACCGTTGTTTTGCCTTGTTATTAGCATGTTGCGCTTCTGCGTCTTTTCCTGAATGACAGACGGACCTTCCTCCTTTTTTTTTCCCCACTCTGCTTCTTTTTATTAATTTATTTTTTGTTTTGTGGGTTTTTGCCTCATCACTGCCTTTGCGCGGGCTTGTGTGCAACATCAAGAAAGTGGCAGAGCAATCGATAAAAAAAAAAAAGTAAGTTTCAACTACCAACCTCCATTGGGGAATATCTAAGGCGTTCACGTCATACCTCGGTATTCGCCTGGCCAAAAAAAAAACAACAAAAAACAACTCACTAACAGGTGCAACAAGTAGTAAGGAATATAGCAATCAAGAAAATTGTAACACATACATACACCAAAAAAGATCCACCGTACTCCTCACGTTGTGTTAAGTTTTTTTTTTCTTTTATTTTCGTCTGTGTCCGTCAATCCCGTCACTGACGAATCCAGTCATGTCTAACCTTCAAACCATTATTGACGCTTTACCGCAGGTGTGGGATTGGAGCGTCAGTCACGGCATGACGTTGGTGACAACTTCATCGTATGGGGAGCTGTTTCTAATTGGAGCTCTTGCTGTGACTTGGGCTTTCATTCTGTACTGGTTCTTCTTTGTGTTTTTGCGGGGACTCATCGTGGACAGGTATCTGCGACACATTCCGGAGGTGCCGGGGAGGGTCCCAGTGTTTGGTCACGCGCTTCTTCTTATGGGGGGATCACCGTGGAAAAAAATGGCAGACTGGAGCCTCAACTCATATTCCAGCACGAATGATGACAAGAAGAAGGATGCAGCACCTGTAAATCGTCTTGTCAGATTTAGCGTCTTTCATCAGCGTGTTGTGTACATCAATGATCCCGTATTGCTTAAACGCGTCCTCTTAACAAACCAGCGGAACTACATGAAGGATATTGCTGTTTCATACAAGCATTTTATTTGCCTACTTGGAAAGGGGCTTGTGACATCGGAGGGAGAGAAGTGGAAGAAAGGCCGCCTGCTACTTTCCCATGCCATGCGCATAGATATCTTAGAGGAGGTTCCACAGCTGGCAATGAGGGCTGCTGGGAGAATCATGGACAAGCTTGCTGCGCTCGACGCGAAAACTTCATTTTTGGACTTGAATGAAGAATTTCGTCACATGACATTGCAGGTGATTGGAGAAACAGCACTTTCCTTGGAGCCTGAAGAAATTGACCGCATTTTCCCAGCTCTCTACCTCCCTATTGTCCACGAATGCAACCGACGTGTGTGGGAGCCCTGGCGCACTTTAATGCCCTTCTTGGAGGGCTATCAAGAACGCCGTCGCTGTTTGAGGGAGTTGAATGCCGTGCTTGGCGACATCATTCAGAAGCGCTGGGACGATCGCCACAAGCCGCATAAGCGCGACATCATGGCGCTTTGCATCTCTCAAATTAAAAATATGGATGCTGCGATGGTGTTGCAGCTGCGTGATGATGTAAAGACCATTTTATTGGCTGGCCACGAAACTTCAGCTGCGCTATTGACTTGGGCAACGTATGAGGTGATGTGCTTCCCTGAAGTGCGCGATAAAATTGTGGAGGAAGCGCGGCGGTTGTTTGATCCGGCACGCTGCGAGAAGAGCATTGTGACACCGCAGGGAAAGACGTGGGGCGTTCCTACCGCATCTGACGTGCGTAGTATGCTGCGATGGTCTCCGGCTGCTCTTCGTGAAACACTGCGAAAACACACTGTCGTTCCCTTGGTCATGCGCCGTGCCGTGAAGAACGACGTATGGCCTGCCGCCATGACTGGACTGGACAAGGATGTTACCATTCCCGCAGGTTGCACGGTGGCGGTGGGGATCCAGGCGGTACACTATCGCCCTGACATCTGGCCGGATCCTCAAGCATTTAAACCAGAACGTTTTCTTGATATGGGTTTTGAAACTGGCACCGGTGTTCAGAGTAATGACGTAAATCAGACCCCTATTGACCCATATGCGTTTATCCCCTTTATTAATGGTCCGCGCAACTGCCTTGGGCAGCATCTTGCGATCATGGAGACGGCGGTGGTATTGGCGTATTTATTTCTGAACTGGGATCTGCGCTTATACAGCGGTGACGTTGGCGCGGGTGATGTGGAAAAGCGCGCATTACAGGACAAGGTTGGCCGCCCACATGAGTTTATGGTTCCCATCGTGCCTCATGATGGCCTCCGTGTGGTGGGGACGCTCTGCAAGATGTAGAGTTGAGACGATTGCTGTAAAACGAAGTTACCAGAAGGAAAAACACAACCAAAAAAAAAAAAACACAACCAAAAATAAATACGGGTGAGAAAATACTCTAAAAAACACGACACGGAAAAGTGGAAGATGGGGATAAAAAACACACACAAGAAAATGTGGTCTTGAGGAGCGAGATGCTTGGCTTGTGTTATATGTCCATGGTTCTGGGGAATGGGGTTTATTTTATTTTTTATTTTTTATTTTTGGATATGGGCGCAGTGTGTGTAACGTGAGGGGGACGGCGGAACTTTGACGTTGTGTCGCGTGTGCCGTCCCCATTTTTGTTTTTGTTTTTTGTTTTCAAAAGAGAGAAGGAGATTAAATAGCGATGGTGTATTGGTGACTGTAGCTTTCAAGATGGAGTCGGGGAAAGAGAGGTTTGGTTAGCAATTTCTTGAAACCGCTATCAGGGAAGAAGCGGGTAGCACTGCGCTTTTGGAACGAACAGAAAACATTTGTCATGCTCAAATGCCACGCGCACTTGACACAACTCACTTTTGTGGCGGTCAAGGCAGCAGCAGCAACAACAACAACGTTGGACGAATAATGCGGACATCTTTGGGAAAGACGGTGTAGACGTGCAGTGTGCATTCATTCAGCTGGGTAGCGGCAACGATTGGGGTTTTACGCTGGGGAATGACGCAATCTGTTGCCGAGCTTGTGACTCACCTTGCGTCTCCGTACTCGTAATTCTCCAACGGGTTGAACGCGCACGCTCCGCAATAAAAATATATAACTTTGTTTTGTTAGCAGACGAGGGCTTTTTTGTTTGTTTTTGCTTTGATGGCCGCGACGAAAGACATAAGGAACTATGAACACTTTGTTTTATCATTAGCTCGATGGGGATGGATGCGGGAGTTGCACTTGATAGTTGTCACGTTGTCACTATGGGCTTATATTTGCATGGCAGCAGTGGAATCACTGTGGTGCTTTGACTAAGCGCCAGGAAGTTGTCTTTTTATGCACATTTGATATTTTGTGTGCATGTGTGTGTGGAGGGAGCGAGGGTTTGATTTCATTCAATGCGCATGCATGACTGTGAGGTGTCTCCCCCTGTGCCTTTTTTTTTTTTTGAGAGGGCATTGCCGTGGACACGGGGCGGGAGTTGGATGCGTCACGGCTAGAGCGCTAGACTTTGCATGGCTTGTGGCGGATTTTTGAGAGAGTGGGGTGTCTGCCCATTTGGGATTTATCTCCGCCTTTTGGCATCTGTGTAAACGTCAATGCTTTGATTTTTTTTTTTTAAAGTTTGGTTCTGGTGGCTGCTTTGCCGTTTCCATGGCACTCGGCGTTAATGAAAGAAGGATTCCGGCATAGGCACGGATTAAAGAGGGCTCTGCACCTCCTGCAGGAAAGACATTGTTGGCTTGCAAAAGATGCTCACGTTTTCTTTCTTGCCGGAGAGTGGCAGTACGACGTGATACGATGGATTGCCCAGCAGCAGCAACAACAACAGGGGCATCAGCGTGTGGGACAGCCCATGACTCCGCAGGGCGTTCAAACGCAAGCAACGAGGCATTGGGTACAGGTGAGCGATGAACTCACCTCTAAGAGGCAGTTTATTGAAGCGACGATGGGCGCTCCGCAGGAAGACGTCAATCCTACTAACTCTTTTTACGTTTTTGACGGTGCTCATCAGGGAACGTCTTTGCGACAGATAGAGGAGGATGTCGGCGGTGTGGTATCCTTTCCTTTTGCGTTGACGGAGGCAGCGTCGTACATTAGACATCAGGGACAAAAACAGTCGAATGACAAACCAAATGAACTGTTGACATGTACTAAATCAGCTGGGAATGTTTTGACTAACGAGAACGTGAGGGAAAGTGCTTCACTGCATGAGTTGCGATTAACATTTATGAATCGACAGACTGTTGACCTTCTTGCTGTAGATTTTGTGGGGAGAGCGGGGATGGGAAGAGCACCAGCACACTCTATTATGACAATACACACTCGAGAATTTCTCGTGGATGCCATGGCGTTGGGGGCGCATCTCCTTCGGCCCTCAGGTGCGTTACTGCTGCGGTTCCCACTCTCTATGGAGCTGCATGATAAACGTTTCACTGCCTCAGTCAGGCAACATATGCGTTGGAGTTTTCAGTCGTCTGGCTGTGAGGTTGACAATGACCATCTGTACTGCGTAGGCTGTAGGCACACCACAGAGCACCCGATCACGGCAGAAGCGAAGATCCCAGTTCCCGGGCTTTTGAATAGGTCCGTGTTTCGTCCCAGGAGGTGGAACCCACGAAAACGCACAGATCGGGTTTTTTTTGCGGCTCTGATGCCGAGCTTTACAGGCGCACCACTTGTGAAGGAGCCGCTGAGTCGTGCAATTAAGGAGGAGGTGAGTGCATCTAAAAAGGTTGAAGAAAAGGCAGATGCGTTATTTCGTGTGTCGCTTGGAATGGTTGAGGGAAGTGCGCACCATAGCAAACGAGATGACTAGTGTGGCGTGGTGATGACACTAGGGACTGCCCCACGCAAGCTGCGATGCTAGTTGAACGTTTATGCCATTTATGTTTTAGACTCGCATACGTATGGGGCTTCATTCGAAAAAAAAAAAAA